TGCTGCAGTGGGTTTGTGTCCTGCCAGTGAGGCTTCTCCATTGCAGCAGCACCAGGGTGCTGTTCTGGTTGCATGCGTGGCTGCTGGGTTCTGCCATCCTCTGTGAACAGAGTCAGCTCGGGGCTGAGTTGACTCTGGCACGTGGTGTGATCCATATGTAATCATGGTTCTTCCTGGTCCCCATCAGACCTTGAACAGAACCTTGCCATGCATGGCCATGGTGGGGGAAACCTGCTCCTGAGTAACTGCAGGAGGAGGTTTATTTTCTTCTGGCTGTAAAGGTCTACCTTAAGTAAACTGTTCCCTGAGGGAGAAAGTGTCCAGGTACAGAATGTTCACAAAGGAAATATTTAAAGTGCTGCTGTGTCCCCAAAGTGTTTGCTTTCAAGAATGAGGGCCAGAGCAAAAAATAGAATATTAATTTCTAATTTGAAAGCAAAAATAACCTCTTGCAGGCAGCACAAAATTAATTGACCTTCTTTGGGCTCGATACTGCAGCCCATGGAGTGCACAAGCGAGGAGGAGCTGTGGAGGAGATGCCATGTCCCCAGTGCACAGCCCACATGGGGCAGGGCAGGAGCTGGCACACCAGGACCAGGGGAACTGGGGTCTCCAGACTGGTTTGTGTGATTGCTGAAGGGACCTCAGCAATGCCTGGGCCTTATGGGGGTATTTCTGTGGGGAGCGTTTTGCTGTTGGACATCACTTCTGAAGCAGTTCCAAGCTGCCCTGTGATCCCATCATGGCAGCACTTCACTTGCCATGGGCTTTTCAAAGGCCCAGAATGAGCTGCTCTGATGTCAGCCAGCTGAACTATTGCCATCGTGTGCCTGGCTCTGTGGGTCCTAGCTGAAGGTGTGTTCTCATGTGTGCAGGAAAAGGAAGGACTGAGGAAGATGCTTAGGCTTGGTTTTCCATTGGAATGTGTAAATGCTGTCGGATGGTGGGGGTGTTCTCTCCTAAAGACTTTTGTTTCTCTTTCAGAACAAAACAGTTCAGTGTGCTATTTACATTGTTCCTGTTTCTCTTTGCCATGCAGTGTTTCCAGGAACACAGCATTTATCTGGAACATTGTTTAATAATGGAAGCATCTCACTGCTGTTGGAGTGTCCCCATTCTGGGTCATCAAGGAGGGGTGGTGGGTACACCAAGCTCTTCTGTACCCATTCAGGTGCCATGAAGAGCCAAGGTTACGGAATCATCTCAAAAGCTACAAGGACGGATGAGTGTCACTTGTGCTGCAGCTGAGTTTAATGCTTTAAGGAAGGGCCATAAAAAAGGCTTTTTTTTGGCTCTGGCAATATCTGGGTACTCAGAACACATTTCTAGTTCAGGAGTGGGCTGCAGATTGTACCCAAAGCGGTGACAGACTCGAGGTGTGAATTGTTTGTCTGCCCATCCGGGCTGGCTGGCTCTAACCTGCACAGCTGGGTGGAATGCAGCAGCCCAGCAGTACTGGGCTGAGCTTGGGCTCAGGGGGAGACCTCAGTTCTCTGCCATGTGCTGCTGGTTCATACTGGGGAGGGGAGCATGGACAGCGTCATGCGTGCTGAAGAAAGGGCACGTCTGGAACTTGGCTTCAAGAAAGCTCCAGTGTTCCTTTACTGTCCACACTGTCCCTGTTCACCTCAGGTGAAGCAAGGGGGATAGGTGCAGATGTCGCTCACCAGGGCTGTCAATCAGGGCAGCAGCACTTGGTGCTTCTCATCCGAGCTGAAAATCCCAGAGAAACAACAAGTGAGGATCCCCCCTGCCCTGCTGCTGAGCCAGGCTTTCCTCCTCAACCCCAAACTCTTAAATAGCATCATTTACACTTGGGAGCCGCTTGAATCCACCCTGTCACATACATTACCATCTCTGAACTCGGCTGTCAGGAAGCGTCCTCACCAGTTGACATCCATGAGGGGTGTCAGTGGAAGAGGACTGGTTCTGTGGCAAGCAGGAGGGATTCAAGCATCAAGTGAATGTTTGTCCTCACGTTACCTCCGGTGGTGAGGGCATCTCAGGCTTGCTGCAGGCAGCCCTGCTGTCACCTTCACTCCTCACACTGCCCATGTTGCCCCTCACTAGCTGTGGAACTGGCTCTGCCGTGTGGAGCAAGGCCTGTGCTCCTGCATCTCAGGCAGCTACAGCCTGGCCCAGCAAGTGGCCCTGGAGCAGGGACTGGGGGATATTAACAGTTTCCTTACAGGGATAAAGCCACAGGCTTTTCTCTCTGCTGTGCTGCTCGCTCTGGCTTTGATGCTGCTGCCATCGAAATGAGATTGGCCCATCTGGTAGCGGAAGAGATGAGCTGTGCTGGATGGATCTGCCTTGCTGAGGACGGTTCAAAAGGCAGCACCTACCCTTTGTTGTATTTCCTGCACGCTAACCAAGCCCGTGTTTTCTGGAGCTACTTTTTATCCTTGCAGTATGTAGCGTTTGGCATGGATGCTTTCATCCCTCCTGCTGGAAATAAGTAGGAGGACAAAGTGATGAAAATGCCAGTGTCCCGTCATCCCGCTGTCGCCTGCCCCATCCCCGTTACCTTCCCCATCCCTTAGAAAAGGATAATACAAGGGAATTGTAAGGGTGCATCGTGGTGGGAATAGCTACAGTTGTTTGCTGCCAGGAGCTGAAAGGTGGAGGACTGAAGCTTGGCACTGTTGGTGGGTTCCTGTTTGTGTTGTCCGGTTGTGATGCAGCAGCATACGGCTTTGGGGTGATGGCACCCCTGGGTGCATGTTTGTCAGCTTTCCTCATAGCCACATGAGAGGGGATTTGAAGCAGTCCAAACACTGTTGACCTGCAGAAAAGCCCAACTTGTGCTCCTCTGGGCTGAAATGCAGTGGCTGCTGCCTGCACTCGCTGCCTCCCAGCACTGGCAGACCTCTGAAGCAGATCCCTTTATTTAGGCCCTGATTCAACAAAGCACTTAAGTGCATGCTTCATGAAGGCTTTCTTCTTTCCATTGATCTGTCTGCATGCTCAGAGTTACGCCTGTGCTGAAGCACTCTCATGAGCACACAGCAAAGCAGCGATGGGGCAGCGTGTGCTGGGCTCTGCCCGGGCAGGCTGCAGGGCTGAGGGCCCTCATGGTAAGAACTTACTCATTTATTTGGCTCCCTCCAGTACCAAAGCCCTTGTCCCAGGGTCTGAGATAAGTCTGTCCTGCCACAGAAGGGGGGGGGTGTTTCCATAGCACAGGATATTCCTCGTGTCTCGCTCTTGCACATTGATCAGTGTACTGCAGGATGTGGGGCAAGGGGCTCCGTTTCCATCAGCAGGACAGGGGCAAGTCTTTCTTCAGAGTTCTCTGTTTTCCCCCCTCTAAAAGAAACCAACCATGTTACATGTATCTGAATGGCTTAATGTTTGTAGTTCAGGGTTTTGTAGGATTCATTCCATTGATCTTCCATTAAAACCATTCCCTTCATCCTGAGGACGGAGCAGCCTAGAGCAAGCAGGTACCCGTGTGTCTGTGCGTGCACATGTGTGCTCCTGAGCTACATCAGTGAGAGCAGAACAAACGCTGGTCCCTGGGATTTCTCCAGGTTGGGAAGTGGCAGATGTTCCTACACTTGTCTTGGTGTAAGTGTGAGTGACCCTGGGAGGCCGAAGCTGTGGAACAGGCACTTCATCCACAAGATGGGTGTATTTCAGCCTGCTCGGAGCAGCTTCTAGGGAGCATTCTTTCTAATCCCCACCCAGAGCTGACCTGTTCTAGCTTGTTTTGAGGAGCTGCACCCAGCCAGGCCCTTGCTCCCTGCAGAAGGTTTCCACACATCTTTTCCTGCTTGCCGAGCTCGCTTGGACAGGGAGCCCACACATCAGCGGATGGGATTTGCCCCGGTTGCAGGACTGGAATTGATTTAGAGCATCTCTGTTGCTCGCAAAGCCCAGAAGACACAAGCATGGCGAGATGTGCTTTTCCCCCCCTTCCCTTTGAAGTTTGAAACACACTCAGCAAATCTGATGCTCGCAGTCTCTGTTCCCCACCTGATGTGCAGAAACGCAAAGGTCTTTCCAGAAGCACGGGTCACACCAACCGTTGTGCTGATGCTGCGGGTGGATTGCAAGGCCCCGGGCAGGTTTTGTTGTGAACTTGACTCTAATGAGCCTGGAGAATACAACAGGGCTTTAACGAATGTTGGGTTTAATGTGAACTAATTCGATCTGTGAATCAAACGGCCTCTGTGCCCCACCCCCTGCTGCTGCTGACAGCCTCTTCCCACACTTCCTCGGGAGCATTGTTTCCATTGTTTCCAGCTCCAGTAATCTTCGGTTACTGATCAGTGTAATTGCAATAACACACCAATAATAAAGGAGGAATAAGCTTCCTTTTCTTGTAGTTGAAGGCTCTTTGCCTGCGAAAGCTTCGGGTCTTAATAGCAGTCACACGAGCAGCATCCTGTGCCTGTGGAGTGTTGGCAAAACTGGGTGGCCATGCTTTAGGGAGATAAAAGGGCTGGAATTTGGGAGTTGGGAAAACAGCCCAATCCTATCAGGCAGCATTGGTACTGCTGATACTAGAATGGGAAGCTCTAGGGACAGCTTAACATTTTAGTGGATGCCGAGGAAGCCTTGACTGGGGATGCAGTGGGAGCTGTGTGTTGTATAACGCGAGTTGCTGGAGTCAGGAGGAATTTGAGTTGCCTTTGGTCTGGTGGAAAACTGCAGCTGGGAGCAGCGAGTTAATGCTTTCCGTGTGTGTGTAGCTGAGGTGTCCCTGGTGCGTTGGCTTGTAGTGGTGTAGGCGCTGTATCCATAGAGGAGCGACCGGTGAGAGCAGTCTTCATGTGCCCTGCCCCGCTGATGGGTGAGCTCGGTGGCCATGGGGCTGAGCCGCAGCAGCTCCTGCTTTGTCTATCAGAAAGCCACCGGTTGCTTTTCCTGCCGGAGCGTTTCCGACAGCAGGGGAGGGGCCCATGGGGAGGACGGGACCTTCATTAGAAGAGATTAAAGAGCTGACTGCGGGGCCGGGCCGCGCCGCGCCGCGCCGCTGGGGCTTCTCGGTGCCAGCCTGCGCCGCTATGAAACAGCCTCGGCTGTTGGTCGGCCGCCCGTGCCTGCTGCTACAACGGTAAACGCCATTGGCCGCTTGCTCCTCGCAGGCGCCGCTGCGTGCGGGAGATGCCCCCCGGTAGCGCAATGGCGGCCGGGCAGCCCCTCGGGCAGGGGGGGCCATCAGCCGCCGGCGGCTCCCGCCTCACTGTGTTTCTCTTTCCCCCGCAGGTTGCTGAAAAGTGCCTTTCCTGAAGCCGCCGCTGCTTGGATCGCTGCCCCGGGCTGCCGCCCTCTGCCCCGCGCCCCCCGCTCTGTGTAACCGGCGTCGCTTGCGCTGCGGGCCCCGACGGCAGCGCCTCCAGCCTCCCCGCGGGTTTCGGTTCTGCTCCACGTTCGCACGCGGCTCGCTCAGCCATTTTAATTCGGTTTGAGTTTGCTCCTGCCCCGAGTATGTAGCAAATATCGAAAAGAAAGAGGAAAAAAAACACACAAAACAACCCGCAAAACGAAAGAAATCCGACGTCCTTTTGCTCGTTTTGATGCTCGCGAACCGTGATTTTTAGAAGCAAGAAATAGAAGGAAAAAATACCCCCAGAAAACGAAGTTTTCTCCCCAAGGACCGAGACCATTCCACAAACTGAAGTGCTGCCAACAGCATATGCTTTTTGCAAGAATAATTGAAACCATTAACTGGAGAGCACAGAATCCTTTTGAAAGTCTGCCAGTTCTTTGCAAGTAACTCCGGCAGTGGCACAAAATCTAACACTTGTATTTTAACTTCTACAATTGCACTTTTAGGAGCTGGCCTCTCATTTGATTTTCAGTTTGTTCTGATAAGATTTCTATTTTATGATTGGCTTTATGTTTAATTCTTGTTTCGAGAAACACGATTTGACTTAAATGAAAACCTAAGTGCTGATGAATAGGAGTTCTACCAAAGCAACAAGTTAGTTATTTCTTCGCGTTTAACTTGAATTCACTTTTTTACCCTTTTTTTAAACAAACAAGAAGAAACTCAAGCGGCTCAGCAGTACCTGGTGCCCCCGAGGAAGGGTGCCCTCGCTTGATTGGTCACTTCTGGTTTTTACTATGGCTGTAAACGTTTCCCTGGTGCGGGATACGAAGTGGCTGACGTTAGAAGTGTGTCGGGAGTTTCAGAGAGGAACTTGTTCTCGGTCCGATGCAGAGTGCAAGTTCGCCCATCCCTCACGGAGTTGCCATGTGGAAAACGGTCGAGTTATTGCCTGCTTTGACTCCCTAAAGGTGAGGACAGCACGTGCGTTACCTGAGCTCTCTTGCTCTTCCTTCCCTGCGGAATAGTGTGGGGTGCGTGCTACTGCTGTTGGTTGCAGTTCCTGCAGGGAGGATGCTGCTGGGATGCAGGGTACAATCAGTGCCCTGATGCACTGCAGGGAGAGAGGGGTTTATCCACCATTTCCAATGGCAGCTCGCGCCTGATGAAGCTGTTCTCAAAGTGGAGACTGTGGGCATTGAGTGAAACTGAGATGAGAGAAGCAGAGAACTCGGTGCTGTAATTTATGTCTAGAGCACATGGGCAGCGCATTCGATGCGGGGCTCTGAAATGTGCTTTTAATGAGCAGAAACGAGAGCAGCATTTTAAGATAATGAATCAGCTTCATGTGCATTTCCTGGAGATGGAGTTGCAGATGCGCTCAGGCACTGGCCCGTGGATGGGAAACAGCCAAAATATTTGGAGAGCAGCGCTCCCAGAAAAATGGGTGCTGGGAAAAGGCTTTCTGTAAGGGCCATGTGGTTCTGCTAGGCCTGGCCAAGACACAGCCCAGCCTTTTGCTAGCACTCATCTCTGTGGAGCTGGTTTTGCAGGCAGTAAATGGCTCCTGGTTGCTTTTCACTGTTGGAGCTCTAGGGGTGACTTTCAGAAGGGACCAAGTGCCTGGGGGCTGAGTTGGGGCAGGGGGATAGGGGCTCGCAGGGGGAGGTGGCATCTCTGTTTGGGGCTGCTTCCCCATGGTGCTCAGGAAAGGAGCATCCACTTTGTGGTGTCTGGATGGGGTTTTTTGCCTCTAAAGTGTGGGTCATCAAAGGTGCTTTCAATAGGATGGTCAAACCCCTGGCCCAGTATGGCTGGATGACCAGTTGCTTCTGAGAGCTCACTGGTTTGATCAGTGATTAACCTGCTTAAGGTTCTAGAAGGAATCTGGTACATTTTACAATGCTTTCCCTTGAACTTCAGCTGTTGCTTGAAGAGATCTGGGTTTATTGTCATGAACATAACGAGTACCAGAAATGGGGGAATTACATGTGCCCAGGTTCAGACGGGGGCTGATCCAGTCTAACACTGATTTACCTGTTCTATTACTGGTTGGCTTCTTTGTATTTTCACTTCTTTTTTTTTTTTACCAAGAAGCTCACGCTTCCTGTTTGCATTTGGTTTTGCTGTTTTTAATCTGATTATCTGCGGCGAGGCTTAGTTACAGAGTGACTTTCAAATGTTCATTTGCATTGCTGTTTGCTGACTATTTCTGTCGGAGGGACATAAAGTCATGTTCTTTGTGCCCTTGAAACTCCTGAATTGTAGCCAGTGGCAGTGCAGGCAGTTTGAATGGAGAGATTAACACGTTTCCATTCGATAGCGTTTCTTTGGGAAGTGGAAGGAGTGCTGTCCTGCTGTGTGGAGTGGTACCCTGCCCCGTGCAGGCCTTGCCTGATGGTTGCAGCAGCCTGGGGAGCACTAAGTTGGTGAGCAGCTGGGATCAAATCCCACCCACTGGCATAGCATACAGGTTTCCCACTTCAGCAGTGGGGAACGGGATGGGGAATACAGTGTTGAGAAAGCAAAGAAAAAAACCCATCGAGGAGTCGGGTCTGATCTGCAGCTCAGCGTGTTTCCTGTGTAACTGCCTGTTAAGTAATGTTCTTGTGGCAGCAGCTTCCTCTTGACACAGCAGCAGATGCCCAGTTTGTGCTACTGAAGTGGCCTCAATTTTCCAGGGAACAGATTTTCCGGATTCTTTCAGGCTTAGGAAAGCCTTGTGGGGAGCCAGCAGCTCTGGCTTAGGGAAGGACACTGGGAGGAGAGCTCAGACTCCTTCCAGGATGGGGCTGTTCCCGCATCCCACTTCTCAGCCAAGAAGTGGGTCTCAGAGCACCTCCTTCCTTCAGGTCCATGGATCCAGTAGCTCCCACTGGGCAGAGCCCTGGCTGTGCTGTGCCACAGAGCATTGCAGTCCCCTGCGTGTGTGCACTCACCGTGCCACCCAGGGGAGATAACCACCCTGGTGACTAACCTCTCCAACAAAGGCCTTTCTGTTCTTGGGCTGCACCGGGCTGGCAGAGCCATGTTTGCAGTGGCATTGAGTGGGCATAACAAGTGGCCTCCCTTACTGGTAACCAGAGAGGTGTAGCGGTAGGACAAGGGCTCATGGGTTCAGACGGAAACAGGGGAAGTTCAGGTTGGAGACAAGGCAGAAGCTCTTCCCTGTGAGGGTGCTGAGGCGCTGGCACAGGGTGCCCAGAGAAGCTGTGGCTGCCCCATCCCTGGCAGTGCTCAAGGCCAGGTTGGACACAGGGGCTTGGAGCAAGCTGCTCCAGGGGAAGGGGTCCCTGCCTGTGGCAGGGGTTGGAGCTGGAGGAGCTTTGAGGTCCCTTCCAACCCAAACCAGGCTGGGATCTGTGATTGTGTGTTACGTTCTCAGACCCATTAAGAGGCTTTTCCTGCCCATCCTGTGGGTGTCTCTGTGTTTCCCTGTGGAAGGCTGGGTAGCTGCTCAGTGCTCTTTTCATCTCCTCACACTCTGCAGTAGCAGAACATCTGTGTTGCTCCCTTGGAGACAGGATATAGGATGCTTGCAGCTAATAAGTTTTCCTTTCCCAGTTGTCTCGCAGTGCCCAGGGCTTTGTTCAGAGGTTGCTTATCTGCATCCATTGTGTAGTGTTGGTGCTTGTTTTCTTTCTCACAGACCTCCTAAGCCTGAACAATGCCTTCATACAGGAACTTTTGCTAACCCAGCCCACAATGGCTTCACCTCCCTGGGCAGGTCACGCACGGCTTCTGTAGTGACTGCATCCTACTTTTGCCTTCTGTTCCCTCTGTCTCGTGGGGCAGTTTTGCCTCTGGTGCAGTGCTGGGAGCAGGAATGCTTCCAGGAGCAGGCTGCTGCAGTGTGGGCTGTTTGCTGGGTGAATGTGTGCTGCCTGTAAGCTTGTAAAGAGCACAAAGGGGGTTCTGACGGTGGTGGTGGGGCTTCACTGATGCTCAGGTGGGGTCACCGGGACGTGCTCTGCAGGAGCACTGTGTGGCTGTGCAGTGAAATACTGGATCCTGGTAAGGGTGGAAGTCCAGGGCTGGATCTTGCTGTCCTGAGCTGCGGCTCTTCCAAGGGGGAGCTTGCATATTTGTAGGCAGCAGAAGGAACCTTTCCCAAGCAGATTGATTGAAGCTTAAAAATAGTTCCTTGTGAGGAGCTGTTCACAGATTGGAGTCAGATGCCAGGAGAGCTCTCACTGTGCTCGTGCTTCCCCTCGTTACTCTGGAGGAGCAGTGCTGTCTGCAGTAACCCCTGTGGATGGCAGGGCAAGCTGCGCTGCTGGGAGCAGGGGAGCCAGCCACCCGCCCAGCAGTGGCCACAAGGGCTGCTGATGCTCTGTGATGCTCCTGGCAGGTCCCAGGGCACCTCTGAGGCCTTCTGCAGTGGTGGCCTTTGGGGTCATTCATCAGCTGCTTTCCCAGGCTTGGTGGGCACTGTTCCACGCAGAGCTTTTGGCCGTGGGTTGCTGGCTCGTGGTGGGCTGTCCACAAGCACTCAAGTCATTAACCTTCCTGGATGAGGCCGGCATGGTGTGACCCTGTCTGACTCCTCAGCTTTGTTCTTCTCTTTCTAAAGCTGCCAGGAAGGAACATCGCATTCTCTTTGGTCCCTAGAAGCACTAATGGAGCAGCGAGCTGAGAGATGGGGCATTCGGAGATAGCGAACTACCATATAAAAGCGTGTAGGTAATGCACACTTGGGTGTTCCCAGAGGCTTATGGTTTGTTCTGCTCACAGGTTGGGGATTGCACTGTGGACTCACGGCTTAAATACAAAGTGCCCAGGCCCAGCTTGGTGAGGTGCGGTGGGGTTTGGGTTTATGCTTTGATTTGCTTTATGAACGTAGGTGTTTCCACATGCAGATCAAAGGGGTGAAGGGCCTCCTCAAAGACAGCAAATCGTGGCCATTTCAGGGCGCTGAATTTTGATCTCAGGAGGTCTAATTTAAAAGACATCCTAAAGCTATTGAATGTTTCAAAGCGGTTCTGTGTGTGTGTATATAGATATAGATATATATAAAGGGTGGAGTGTCTGAACAGGCGTGAAATCAGGAGATAAAGTCCAGTTTTGTCTGAACTGTCTGTCTTCTAAAAGAAGTGTTATTGTCTGGTAGTGGTATTCACAATCCTACAGCAATTGAAGAAGTTCACTGTGCTTGGACAGTAAGCGGCCATAGGATAGGTTTATGGACAGTAGATGTCCATAGGTTCCATAGGATCTTGAAGCTGGGGTACCTAAGGCTGTTCTTACACTTTTCCTACTGGTTTGTACCTGGTTTACGCTGACTTCACCAGAATTCTTTCTGTTGCTGGTTTGCAACCAAACCTTTTAAATTTAAATAAACTCCAAGCATAGAAACAACTGCACCACCCCCAAACCTCACATACGGTTCCGCTTTATAGGGGAAGAAGGAAGCAAACCAAGCCAGAGAGGTATTTTTGGAGACACTATGACTGCACGTCTCAGCTCAGCGTAATGGGGCTGCAGATGCATCAGCCGAGTAATGTTGGGCCAGGTCACCCCTGCAGGACACCTTCCCTCTTTGGTCACTCACCTGCATGGTGATGAGAAGTGGATTTGCAGCAGTTTTGGTCTTGTCTGGTGCTTTTGTGTATCCTACAGCGCATCCTGAGTGCTTTTTATAACTACTGAGTCAAACATCTGAAAGCAGAGAAGTGTTTTTAGACTCAGTTTTATTTATAAGAACCGTGGCTCTTGTGTTTGAGTGGTACATCAGGGAGGGCAGGAGAATGTTCCTATTCAGACACATCCCTTGTCTACACCAGGCTTCATGTTGTCACTGCTTCATTTAATTGATACGCGTGCTGTGCATGCTCTGCAGTGCCTCCAAAAGGTTTGTGGTGCTTTGTGGGATGGAGGAGCACACCTGGTGGTGCCTGGGGCTGAGCATCCCTATTAGGCCTGGTGTCTGGGCTGCAGATGCTCTCAGCTGAGGTCCTTTGGTTACTAGGGT